CGTGAAGCATATCGCCACATGGGAAGAACTGGAGGAAATTATGCTAAGTGAAGTAAGCCAAGCACAAAAGGACAAGTATAACATGAGTCCGCTGAGTTAAGTTTATAAAAAAATAAGAAAAGAAAAATGTAAAAGGGGCACAGGGAAAAAGCTACTGTATACAAACACTCCAGGAGTGAGGTCCAGGTAGTATGGCAGGGGCCAGACCAAATCTAGGGGTATATATGGTAGCCAACTTAAAAAGCGGGGGTGGCGGGGGGCAGAGGAGGGGAGGAAAGGGGTAAAAAAAAAAGCTATGTGTGGCAGGGGAATAAGGCACTGACCCACTCGAGAGGAGGGTATTGTTTGTGTCTCCACAGGGAAAGAGGGACCAGACTTAAAGCCAGTGTTCTGAGATGCAAATGCAGCATGCCGGCAAGGAGTGGGGAGCCAGTGGAGGGGCTTGAGGGCTCAGCCCCCATACCAGCTACATGGACAACTGCCCCTCCCCCGAGAAGAATTTACTTTAGAGGAACGGCATGGAAGCTGCAGCTAGGGGAGAGGGGCATGTCTGATCAGAGCACATGGGAGCACATGAAGGGGGATGAAGAGAGAAGGGAGCACATCCTGGCCCACCAGGTCTGGAGGACAATAACCCCTCTCTGAACAGCCAATGCACAGAGTGGACCATATGGCTGATCCCACTTTGAGACACGCCATCCCTTGCTGGCTCAGGGCCTTAAGTGGGACAACACTGGAGACTCAGTGTCAGGACTGGCCCGGGCTGACCCCGCGACATGGAGGCAAGCCACTAAAGGCGTTCAGCAGAACAACCATGGGAACAGAGCAGGGAGCTCCCAAGGGAGTACAAAGGATAGACTCTGGGGCCAGATCATGGCACCCCATTGGACCTGACTGAAGGACACACCTAGAGATCAAAAATCAGACCTTGATCTATTTGCAGGTTTTTCTTTCTTTTTAAAATTTTTTCTTTTTCTTTTTTTATCCTTTTAATTAATTTATTATTTTATGGGTCATTGGTTTTCTTTTTTGTTGTCACTGCTGTGTTCTCATTTGTCACCTGTCTTGCTATGCCTTGATTTCTGGTGCATATTATTATCTCTACAGATCTATCTAGATAAGATAGGCTGGATGAATAGTATGGAGGACAAAACAACGGGACCTATGGTTCCGGGGGACATGGGAGAGGGGGAGGTGGGGGTAAGGAGGTGGTGTTGACCAACCCAGGGACAGGGGAGCAACAAGTGATCCAAAATAAGTGGCAAGGAGGGTGTGAGAGGCCTGGTAGGGATTCAGCAAGAATGTAACCGAGAGAAATTACTGAAACCCAAATGAAGGCTGAGCATGATAGTGGGACAAGAGGAAAGTAAAGGGATATAGAAGAAAAAATTAGGTGACAAAGGGTATTTATAGAGGTCTAAATACAGGCAGTACATATGTAAATACATTTATATAGGATGGTGGGGAAATAGATCTACGTGCATATATAGCTATGTTTAGTATTAAGGGAGTAGATGGACATTGGGCCTCCACTCAAGTACTTACTCAATGCAAGAACACGATGTTGTTTGATTAAATTGGCATTCCATGATGCACACCTTCCCAACACGCTCACTGAAGACAAATGTGTGCATAAGCAAATGTGGTGAAGAAAGCTGATTGTGCCCGGCTATCAAAAGATATATTGTCTGGGGTCTTAAAGGCTTGAAGATAAACAAGCGACCATCTAGCTGAGAAGCAACAAAGCTCTTACAGCTCTTATAACAAATCATACAGCCTTTGTGTCAACCACATTTGTACATATGGAAGAAGCACACCAGCCTGTGTGACCACGAGCTATCGAAGGGATCAAAGAACAAAAAATCATATCATTGTAAATGAGGGTGAGTGCAGAGTGGAGACTCAAGGCCCATCGGTAGGCAACTGGACACCCTCTTACTGAAGGGTTATGGGGAGGAGATGAGCCAGTCAGGGCGTAGGGTAGCAATGATGAAACATATAACTTTCCTCTAGTTCTTAAATGCTTCCTCCCCTCCACTATCATGATCCCAATTCTACCTTACAAATCCAGCTAGACCAGAGGATGTACATTGGTACAGATAGCAACTGTAAACACAGGGATTCCAGGACAAATGACCCTTTCAGATCAGTGGTGAGAGTGGCAATGCCTGAAGGGTGGAGGGAATATGGGGTGGAAAGGGGGAACCAATTACAATAATCTACATATAACCTCCTCCCTGGGGGATGGGCAACAGAGAAGCGGGTGAGGTGAGACGTCAGACATTGTAACATAAATAATAATTTTTTCCATTTAGAATAGTGTTTTCGCAGTTCATTCATAGTGCAACACAGTATCAGTACTTCAGTTTTATTTTTGATTGAATAATATTCTATCTTATCTACACACTAAAATTTGTTTCTTTAATCTGTTGTTGGACATATTTTTGTTTCCACCTTTTGGCTACTGTGAATACAGTTTCTGCCTGGTTGTTCTATTCATTATTTAAAATGAGTCGCAATGATGGTGTAATGGGATACACACTGAGCTGCGAACCTGAAGGTCAGCAGTTCAAACTCACCAGCTCTTCGAAGAAAGAAGGATCCTGTTAAATGCTGTAAGGATCTAAAAGTCATCCAAGAGTTCTACTCTGTCTTATAGGGTTGATGAGTTGGAATCTTGCAGAATTTGATTGTTTTTAAACGGTTTTATTTGCAAGTAATTTACATATCATATAATTCAATAGTTCAATCATTCAATCATATCATGGAAAATACTACAATCACCTCACATTAATTTTAGCGCATTCGCCCTCCCCCATGGTTAAATTGCTCCCAAAATGGTTTTTGTAATCACAATCCATTCGAGTGCTCACTCCCTCAACCTGTCTTCATTAGTTACTCTGGAAACCCCCTTTCCCTCCCTTTCCCCCCACCACACCCTCCTGTATTCCCTATATCCCCTTATAACCTTAATTATCATTATGCATCCACTTCATCTGTGCCTCACAGCTGGGAGACCCAATAGAAAACAAAATCGTGCTAAGCTGGTAAGGGTAGAAACATAACAATACACAGACACTAATAATGTATAAGGAGGAAAAGACCCCCAACAATAATCAAGAAGCCAGGGAAGAAATTTCTGTCATGAAACCAGTAAACGATACTTGCACCCAGAACAAATTCAAATTGCGTCTATAGGGTGGTCAGCTGGCCAGTATGGAGTTAGATCCAGCATAATCAAGATTACAATGGTCTCTGCTGGATAGTAAGGCTGATCAAGATTCTTGCCTGTGACTAGAGCTGATTTGCCAATGGCTCAGTCTGACCAGATACTCTGCAGATCACTCACCATCCCCATATTTGGGATTCATAATTTTTGCTCTGATATTTTCCTCCTCACCATAATCTAGTTTTGTAGTTGGTTAACTTTGGATCACATAAGCTAGTGTGCTTCATCCATGTGGGGTTAGTCGACTCCTCATTTAGATGACTGCTTGTTTGAATACAAGCATTATTCCAGTTGATAGCTGGGCACTATCTGGTTTCTTTAGCCCCCTTATCTTTGGTGATCATTTCATGAAGGTGAGTATCAAGCAGTGCCATGATATAAGAATTGATGGTTATTAAGTTGGGGCTAGGATTTAGTGTAAGCTCAAAACCCATTCCTAAATCTATGCTTTTATTTTATTTACTTATTTTGTGTTTAATCAATTTGCTGTAGTTTGGAAGCCAATTCATATGTCATATTATTCCATAGTTCAATCATGTAAAATCTAATTGTACAATTTCTTGCATATTCATTCATGTTTTCCAAAACATACTTTTTCTTCCTGGACTTCTTGATATCATCTCCCACTTGTCTCCCCCACCCCTCAATAACCCCCTTCCTTCAGACCCTTAGTTAGGTTTATTGTGCCAACTAAGCCTCTGTAGGAACATATGAGCGGAGTTTAATCAGGTTGCAGCTTGACTGGAGGACGACTGAGATAAATGCTTTCCAAAGCTGGCTTCCCATCTCTCTTTCTCCTTGGTGATCTGACCAGTGTGCTACTGCTTGAGCTAGCCCTTTGCCTCAAACTTGTACTATACTAACAGTTTGGCTGAGTCAACCTGTGGATCTTGTAGCCTTGCTGTGCATCACTAGAGCTTGAGGCTCCTTGGAAACCTGCTTCACCATGCTGCCGGTGGATCTGGTTGCCACCCAGAAGGTCAGGATCTGGTTGTGCACCCAGAAGGTCAGGATCTGGTTGTGCACCCAGGTCAGGATTCAGTGTCCCAGTGTTCTGTGGCACCCGGTTTAGTTTCCCAGATTACCCCCAGATGCCCTGGGTCAGTTCTGCCATCCTGCTGCATGGCACTAAAGACTCTCCCTACCTAATGATCCCAAGAGCATCATCAGTCTTTCCTCCCCCCACCTGGTGGTCAGGCCTCCTTTCCCTCCCCTCAGCAGACATGCACATATGTTTGCCCAAACTTGATGGCTCCCTCTTCCCTCTCCTGGGCTGCCCCTCCCATCAGTAAACCTGATCCCTCTGACGGGGCCACCTCCCTCTCAGGGGAACTCCCCCAAGTCTGCATGGCTACCACTCAGCAGACAGCATCCCCACTTCTCCACTGGCCATTTAATCCCAGCTCTCTTACGGTGCTTTCTGGCTAAGTGACCTTCCTTTTTTTTTTTTTTTTTAAATATACTGCCACCAAGGAGCTCTGGTAGTGTAATGGATCAAGTGTTGGCAGTTGAAAGTGACCAACCTTTAGCAGGAGAAAAAGGAGGCTGCCAGTTCCCATAAAAAAAATTGCTGTGTCAGAAACCCTAAGGAACAGTACTACTCTGCCCTGGAAGGTCACTATGAGTCAAAATCTACTTGATGACCACGGGTTTATACTGCCACCACCCTACTGAGAATTATCACCATCTCTTGCTTATACAGGTGTAAGAACTTTACTTGTTCCTTGCTTCCATTCTTATACTTTTTTTTTTTACATTTCAATTTTTTTTCTTTAAAAGGAGTGAGTTGTGTACAGGGGGGTTAAATGCTTTATAGACAAGGAAAAAAACTGCGCTAGAACCAACTTATTCATCATCATCTTCTTCTTCCTCCTCTTCATCTTCCTCATCGTCTTCATCCTCCTCTTCCTCCTTCTTTTTCTTGCTTTTCTCAGCCTTGACGACCCCCTTTTTGGCAGCATCGGGCTTCCCTTTAGCCCGGTACGCAGCGATATCCTTTTCATATTTCTCCTTCAGCTTGGCGGCCTTCTTCTCGTAAGGCTGCTTGTCATCAGCCGCAGTGTTATTCCACATCTCTCCCAACTTCTTCGCAATGTCCCCGATGGACAGGCCAGGGTGCTCGCCTTTGATTTGGGGGCAATACTCAGAGCAACACAAGAAAAATGCCGAAGGAGGCCTCTTGGGTGCATTGGGATCCTTGAACTTCTTTTTTGTCTCCCCTTTAGGAGGGATATAAGTTTTCATTTCTCTCTCATAACGGGCCTTGTCTGCCTTAGCCATGTCTTCAAATTTCCCCTTCTCTTTAGCAGACATGGTCTTCCACCTCTCTGAGCACTTCTTAGAAAACTCTGAGAAATTGAGAGGCATCTGGGTGCTTCTTCTTATGTTCCTCCCAGCAAGTTTGCACAAAAAATGCGTATGATGACATTTTGCCTCTCGGCTTCTTAGGATCGCCTTTGCCCATGTTGTTGTCTTTTTATCTCGTCCGCAAGGCACACAGTCGCCCAGTGCCGTCCGGCTCTGCCTGGCCCGGCGCCGTCTCTATGGAGCTCAATGTACTGCGATGGCTGTGAGAGCGGGAGCCACCATTCTTATACTTCTATAATCTATTTTTACATTCGAACCAGAGGTCACCCTTTTAAAATTTAAGTCAAATGCCATTCTTTTTGGTTAAAAAAAAAACCTTCATTAATCTTCATTCTATCTCTCATGCCTTCACCTCCCTCCCCTGGTTATTAACCATCTGGGACTCCTGGAAATTATCAAAACCTTTAAGAATTCTCTGATGGCCTTCCTCCTCTCCTTTGATTTCTCCAGTCACATGGACTTCATGACTGCTCTCAGATATTCGAGGAATACTCTTAACGTAGAGCCTGTATAGTTGCTGCTCCTCATCTCCTCAACACTCTTCCTGGAAACAGTGCCAGAAACTTTTCTGAATTACATGTTTTACTAATTTAATCCTCACAGAAATCCTAGGAGCTGGGATAATATCATCCCAATTTTACAGATAAAAATCTGAGATCCTAAGATCTGGCTCATCTGGCTAGATCCCTCATTTTCTTCAAGTTTTGCTTAGCCATTGCTTTCTGGAGGACCTGCTCCACTCCCCTAGCTTCTGTTATGGTGTTCTGATTTTCCCCTACACGATGCATAATATCTGAGCACACTACAAATTTTAATGATCTATTACTTTTATTCTTAATTGTCTTTCTCCCTCATCCTCAACTAGACTGCAAGTGATATGAAAGCTGGGGCTTTGCAAGTTTTATTCACTGATAATAGTCCAAGTGCCTAAAACATCCTGGGATCTTAACAAATATATGATGAATGAATAAGTGATTAGCTACATTTTTATTAGTAAACAGGAATATATGGTTAAAATTAAATATCACTAAGAATGATATCAAATTGGTTGGGGAAAGGTGAATTGTTTGAATAAAAAAAAATTCAAAAATACATTGGTAGCCAGGGAACAGGGCATTAACCCACCCAAGGGGAGGATATGGTTTGTATCTCCACAGGAGAGGGAAGAGAGGGACCAAACTTCAACCCAGTGCCCCAAGATGTGAATGCTATCTGCCAGCATGAAGCAGTGAACCAATAGAGAGGTCTGCGGGGCTGGCCCCAATCCCAATTACATGAACACCCTGCCACAACCAAACACTTCCCAACCCCAAGAAGAATGCACTTCAGAGGAAAGCACTGAAGCTACAGCTCAGGGAGAGGAGGGTCACGTCTGATCAGAGAGAGCACACAGGAACAGATAAAGAGGAAAAGAGAGAGAGCAGAATACTTGGTCCACCAAATCCCGCGGACAATATTCCTGCTCAGAGCACCCAATGCACAGAGAGGACCACAGGGCCATCCCCACTACAAGACACGACATCCCTCACTGTCCCATAGCACTACAGAGGACAACATTGGAGACACAGTGCAGGAATTGTGCCCGATCTGACCCCACCACACCAGGGTGAAACACTAAGGGCATACAACAGAGCAGCAAGGGGAGCAAAGCAATGAAGTCCCTGGGGAATACTAAAAATAGACTTTGGAGCCAGGTGCAGCACCCAATCAGACTCTACCAGAAAACACTCTTAAAGGTCAACAAACAGATCTGGAATTACTTATAGGCTTTTCTATTTTTGTCGCTGGTTTTTGTTGTTGTTGTTTTCTTTTGTTGTTTTGATTTCCTGCCTTGCTTTTGTGCTTATAATTGTCTCTGCATGTCTATCTAGATAAGATAGGTGGGATAGACAATCTGGAGGAGAAAAACCCTGGGCCGGCGGTTCTTAGGGACACAGGAGATGAGGAGGTAGGGAAAAAGAAGTGGGGGTGTCAACAAACCCAGGGACAAGGGAACATCAAGTGATCTAAAAATCAATGATGAGGAGGGCCTAGGATGCCTGATGGGACTTGATCAAGGGCAATGTAGCTGAGAGGAATTACTGTAACCTGAATGAAGGCTGAACATGATAGTGGGACAAGAGAAAAGTAAAAGGAAATAGAGGAAAGAAGTAGGAGGCAAGGGGCATTTATAGAGGTCTAAATACAGGCATGTACATATGTAAATATATTCATATATAATGATAGGGAAATAGATCTATGTACATATACTTACATGTTCAGTATTAAGGGAGCAGATAGACATTGGGCCTCTACTTGAGTACTCCCTCAACACAAGAACATTTTGTTCTAATAACCCGAGATTCTGTGATGCTCACCTTCCCGACACAATCGCTGAAGATAAAATAGGTACATAAGCAAATGTGGTGAAGAAAGCTAATGGTGCCCAGCTATGAAAAGATATACTATCTGGGGTCTTAAAGGCTTGAAGATAAACAAGCTGCCATCTAGCTGAGAAGCAACAAAGCACACATGGAGGAAGCACACCAGCCTGTGTGATCATGAGGTATCAGGCATCAAAGACCCAGAACAAAAAAATCATATCAATGTGAATGAGGGTGAGTGCTGAGTGGAGACCCAAAGTCCATCTGTAGACAAGGAAACACAAGTCAGACAGGTGCACAAATGAAACATACAACTTTCCTCTAGTTTCTTTAATGCTGCTTCCTCCCCAACACTATCATGACCCCAATTCTACCTTACAAATCGGCTAGACTATAACATGTACACTGGTACAGATAAGAGCTCCCAACACAGTGAATCCAGAAGATAAACCCCTCTGGACCAATAATGAGAGTAGCAATACCAGGAGGGTAAGGAGAAGGTGGGGGAGAAAGGGGGAAACCGATCACAATGATCTACATATAACCCCCTCCCAGGGGGATGAACCATAGAAAAGTGAATGAAGAGAGACAGCAGTCGGTGTAAGACATGAAAAAAAAAATTGTAAATTATCAAGGGTTCATGAGGGAGGGAGGATGCAGGAAGAGCGGAAATGAAGCTGATACCAAGGACTCAAGTAGAAAGAAAATGTATTGAAAATGATGATGGCAACATATGTACAAATGTGCTGGACACAATGGATGGATGGATGGATTCTGATAAGAGCTGTGCGAACCTCCAATAAAATTATTTTTTTAAAAGAAAGTTATAGTCTTAGAAACAGGGATAGTTCTATTCTGCCTTATAGGGTTGCTATGAGAACCTCATTGGTGGATTGAAATTCTAGTTAAAGTTAAACATTATTTCTACACACTCACTCATACACACACAGACCTGTTGCCATTGAGTTGATTCCAACTCGTGACAACTCCATGTATTACAGAGTAAAACTATTCCATAGGTTTTCTGGCTGTAGTCTTTATGGAAACAAATAGCCAAGGTTTTTTTTCTGTGAGATACCTTTAAATAACTGCCTGAAATTTTGGCAATCATGTTCTTCATATTTTTTGCATTTTTTTTTTTAGATTCTCTGAGTTATGAATATGGATTCTCTGGAAAAATCTGTTGAGACATCATAGTATAAAATATTATTGTGTTGAAAGTAAGGAGGCCTCCACTGGACATGCCCTTACAGAAGGGTCTCGGGGAGCAAACAAACCAGTCAGGGTGCGACATAGCAATGATAAAACATACAATGTTCCTCTAGTTCCTAAATGCTTCCTCCTCCCCCACTATCATGATCCCAATTCTACCTTGAAAATCTGGCTAGACCAGAGGATGTACACTGGTACAGATGGAAGGTGGAAACCCAGGGAATCCAGGGCAGATGATCCCTTCATGACCAGTGGTATGAGTGGCGATACTGGGAGGGTAGCAGGAGGGTGTGTTGGAAAGGGGAAACTGATTACAAGAATCTACATGTGACCCCCTCCCTGGGGGACAGACAACAGAAAAGTGGGTGAAGGGAGACGTCAGACAGGGCAAGATATGACAAAATAATAATGTATAAATTATCAAGGGTTCGTGAGGGAGGGGAGAGCAAGGAGGAAGGGGAAAAATGAGGAGCTGATGCCAGGGGCTTAAGTGGAGAGCAAATGTCTTGAGAATGATGAGGGCAATGAATGTATAAATGTGCTTTACACAATTGATGTGTGTATGGATTTTGATAAGAGTTGTATGAGCCCCTAATAAAACAATTGAAAAAAAAGAAAGAAAGTAAGGAGGCCTCAAAAGTTCATGGACAAATTCCATTATTTCTCAGTTGTATTTTCCCTGAATTTTTTGAAGTCCCTCATAGAGGAAGATAGGCAGGACTCATCATCTAAATGATCTATGAATATTGAAGATTTAAGACTTTCTTATCAGGCTTTTAACTTACCCTGGGCAGATTCCATGGCCTTTAACACTCTATTCCGAAACACATTTCCGGCAGCTGTAAGGAAAGGAACCATTCATGTCAGAAGGAAATAGCATGAAAATTCACTGAGCTAGTTGATAACTTCAGTAAGACAAGTACTTAGGGCTCAGTGAGAAATGTGTTCTCTCGGACCATTAAGTTTTGAAATGGAGCTATGGAAAGGAAACTAAGTGTGAAAAAATATGTGGTGTTGTCTGTTTGCTTTCCTTTTGGTCGACAGAGGGGTCTGAGCACTAAAGGAGACACTATTATAGTGAAACATTCGACTTTTGTTTTCTATTCCTTCTGGCTCCTCCTCTTTCTCTCATTAACTCATCTCTCACTCTCCATGGCTCCCTTCCTTTTAGTTCTCAGGGTTAGGAACAGCTGTTATCTGAACAGGTATGCTGATACCCACCTAGATTCTAAGGGTAAAAGGGTTGATAAAACATAAAATGAAACCTAAATGACTAATTTTTTCTAATACTTCTCGACATTATTTAAAAGAATCAAGTAAAAACATTTAAAACTGTTTGTGCAAGATTATAAAGTTACACTCCCTAGAAGGTGCAATGGCATTCACATAGCTCACCATCAACTGGCAGAGTTTCCTGCAGATTCTTGAGTTTCTTATCTGTGAATTCAATCCCCATATTTCCCAGCATATTCTCTAGGTCACTGGCATGAACCTTTTTTCCTTTGAAAAACAAAAGAATATCAATGAAATTGAATTTTAAATACTTGAAGCTATCTAGCCATTCTACAAAATGATGAAAAATTCATGTTTGCCTCTAATACATCATCTTCTATCTGAGGAAATGTACAAACAAAA